TATCCATGATTACGGTATTTGCTGAATTCTCTGAGTCCTCCCAGCAAATCACCAAACCTAGAAGTGGTTATAAGGACACTGACACAGGTCACTGTAAGTCCAAAGAGCAGCAGCTGTGCCAAAGATCCATTTGTATTTCTTAGAGTACATAATATACTCTTAAGCATAGCAGACATTCATTATGGCTAGTGATTTTATACATTATCTTCTTAATATATTTGAACCAATCTACAGACATGTGGTATATCCACTTCACTGGTAGTTTACCTTGGTAAACCAGTTAAATGACAAAAATACGTGATAAAAGTGGTGCACTTTGAACAACAAATAAAAAGGTTTTGGCAAGTTCAAGTAACAAAGTCATACAGAGACTGATTACTTCATGTATAGTTTGTAGTCATCCAGCCTTCTTTAAGGCTGCAAATGTCCTCTGTATGTAAACTTCCCGAAGCGTATCATAAGCACTCAGTTTGATTTTCTTCTTTTTCTGTCTGCTCATATATCCTCAGAATTAAGCAAAAAGTAACGTATTTCAGTAACGTGCATGTGACAGAAAAAGGAAAGCACTTTACCCAGCTACTGCACTATTTGCCTACTGTCTGTGGTATTTCAAAGACAACTATCCATGCTTCTTTGTTCTTCAAATAATTCCTTCAGAACTATGTCCCCCTTATCAGCCAAAAGAGGAAGACGGCATAAAGACAAAAGGACTAGTAAGGTTAAAAGGAGGCCCAAGGGATGAAATGAGTCCATTACTAGGAGAACCTAAGTTAGAGACAGTTCCAGGCTGGGGATATAGCTCAGTGGTACAGCACCTGCCCGGCAAGAGCAAGGTCCTAAGTTCGATTCCCAGTACCAAAAAAAAGTTCCAACCCATGCCTGATGAAAAAGTATTTCCTGATCTTGATCTGTGATGGCAAAAAGAAACAAAGCTGCTTAATATTTTAAAACAACCATCATTATGCAACATAGAGACTTCATTCAAATGTTGATTATGTACTTCAAAAAAGCAAAAGAATGAAGAATTTTTACAAAGCATAGCAGCAATACAGTGACTCTTCCCCTTAATTTTCATAAGAAAATTCTATATCAGAATATAATTTATCAGCAGATGTGACAAAAATGTATTTAAAATATTAATAATGAAGAAAATATAAATCATTAAACTGGTGCAGTAAAACAGCTTTAAAAGAAGCACAAGGTTGAAAGCAGTCTCCAGAATCTGTCAAGCCATCTCCCTAAAACACAACTTGGTAACTTCCAGATCCAAGAGAAAACAGTGATTCTACCATAACAGTTAGCAGGAGGGATTTTCTGTTGTGGTTTTTGGGAGGTGATCGAAGTACAGTTTAAGGGAGCTGGATTTGACGGTCAGTCCTGGAGTTTTCGGTCAGTTCCAGTCATCCTCCTTGTGCTTGGCGTGCTGAGGTCTACCTATATACTTCAGTCATATTCTAGGGCCTTTACTCACTGCCAGTAATATCACTGGCAAAACAAAACTACTACAAAGTTTGATTTAATTCAATAACTTTTCTTTTGATATCAACAGTTTATAATCTTCTCAAAATTTTCACAACAGTAAAATCAAGATTCTCCATGCTGTGTTAAATCTCTACATCAAACCACCTTTACTAATCAACTAACTCAAAGTTAAATTTTAAAAAAAAGCACCAGTTTTCTTTTTAAAAAGAAACAAACTTTTATGTCTCTTACATTCTTCAAAACACTTTATGAAGACAAAGATTCTCAAATTCACACCAGTTTAATAATACAAACACTTCTTGATGCCCAAAAGCAGAGATTTTCTTATTATCCAGGAACGGTTTCCATTATATTGAAATGGCTCAGTTACGATTGCTATGCACAAACTTACAAAGAATTACAATAACGTAATTTTAGGTTTTAAAAATACAAGGGTGTATAACAATAAAACGTCCTGAATGTTACCTGCTGGTTAAGATAAATTTTAATTGTGCTTAACCACTCAGCAAGATGTACAACTCAGAGTAAATCAATGTGCAGTAAAAACCAATAGTGCACAGACAATTAAGGTATCATAGAAGCTGGTTAAAATTTTATAATGAAGAGAGAACTAGTAAAAATATAGCAACCTGGCTGAAATTGATATTCATTAGGGTACTCTTCTCATCAATAGGGAGCATTTGGACTCTGTGGTCTTTATCAGTGTCCCAGCTGGTAATGGTTGAAGGTTAATGCCTTACCCCATTCTGTTCAATTTTCTATCCTAATTAGCCCTCCAAATCTATAGCTGTGAGCACCAAGTGTCTGTCCTCAAAAGAAACTAATTAATGCTAGCAAATTAGATCAAGTCCAAAGATCCAACAGCCAAATTCTTAGTTAAATACTCGTTGTTAAGAGGAACTGTAGCTGTCAATAACTGCTGTTGGTGACTATAATGAGACATCCTTCTTTCACTGAAAGTGACTTCATTTTTCTTTGTCCGTGGAAAAGCTGTTCCATTCCCTTCACAAACCTAAGTTGCTGGCAGACTGACCCAATTCTTATGATCAGCTGAGTTGAAATGACATGGAAAAAAAAAAACTAGAAAAGCTTTCCTACATAATCATGCTTCAGCATTTAGCAGAAAGTCAGATCACTTATTAAAATTCCTGTATCTTTATCCAAGAACCATATGATTAACAAGCATAATGCCTTTATGTAAAATCCTGTAATTATTTAATAAAGCAAAGGTATAAACAGTAAGTAAACTACAATGAAAGGGTCCCAATTCTAAATTATACCTTACTGTTCAACTAATGTACAGATTATTTTCCCTTCAGTAGTTATGTGTACACTTTCCTAATTCACACGGCTAAATGGAGAGAATTTTAAGGATTTATTATTCTTTTATAAAATGATCAATTTTACATTCTAAAACACTGACACCATATGGCCTAAAAAATCAATATGATTATCTACAGGGAATTGAAATATTCAAAAATCAATTATATTACAGAGTACTTTACAATAAGGTCCAATGTATTAAAATAATCCAAACCAAACTCCAATTTTAGATGCTTTCAGTCTTCAGAGGATTAAGTATATTTCAAAAAAAATACCATGTCAACACGCTAAACAAACTACAGTTTTACAAAGGATAGAACACTAAAAACTTCTTGTTTATACCACCGTCAAATAGTGGCTATAACATACAAATATTTTAAAGTTACGATCTATGCTTTTGTTTCAAAAACAGTTTCAGTGTCTAAAAATAGGGAAAGCCAATTCTGAAACCCAAAGCCATACAATCTTTTTCATCTAAATCAAATTTGTAAAAATTAAGTATACAACTGAGTTATCTAGCTTTCTTTCATTCTAGGTATCAGGATAATGTGTTATAAAACAGAATGAATATAGCTTATAACAGTAGAGTGATATATTAGTATCAGTAACAAGTAAACTTTCCTAGTAGTGAGAAGTTAACCCTGTAACTTTATTATCCATGTTTAAGTTTTATGCTCCCTTATCTGAATCAGGATATATATTTTTAAAGTTCTACAAGAACTTTAAAAGATGCAAGATTACTTTTTGAGACTATCAGCATAATACTGGTCAAAGCCAGATGTGCACTGAACTCTGTCTTTAGGTGTCAACAAGTTAATTTCTCCTGACATCTGGGGTTGGGGGTGGGAAAATATGAAGGACAGTATTCTGAGTAAACAACTCATTCATAGAAAAAGCAAGAATACAGTAATGCTACAAAATGATTATATTTATTTTAAATTACTAAGTTACAGATGGATTTAAACATGGAATGGGTCTTAAGTCATTTAACTTAAGAAACAGAAGAGACCATCACACACTGTTGAGTGTAAGGGTCTATTCTTATTTTATGTCTCCATCCACCAACTGCAAAAGGTCATCTCTAAGGTTGAAGGCTGAGGAGGCAAATGTTCCTAGCATCCAAACACACCCAGTCTTGAAACTAGAGCTGATACAGTCTAATTTTCCCATCTAGAAGCCTGCAGTGGGACTACAGCCTATTATCCTCACTAAAAATTATTGTGGTCCTTCAACAATAATGACTACAGGGCAAGTGAGGAAGGGGAACTAGGAAAAGAGAATATGTTGGTAAATTTTTACTACTTCGTTTTGCTTTATTTTTTTGGGTGGTGCTGGGGATCAAACCCAGGGCCTTGTGCGTGCAAGGCAAGAGCTCTACTGCTGAGCCACATCCCCAGCCCTTTGCTATTTCTTTTGATAGCCATTTAAAAAGGCAGAATCTTTTAAAAAGCTATTTCTACAGTACTACTGTCATCAGCTTGTCTAATTATCCATCATTCATAGGTGTTTTTTGTGGCTGCAATTTTTACCTTTACTTACATTTTTAATACAATGTTATAAATTTTTCAATGTTTCTAGACTTATAGTATATAGGAATATTTAATATTAAAAATATTTTCCAAAAGAAATGCTTATGAAGATGACTAGTGCATGCATTTTACATAAATATCTCCTACTGAGAAACACAACACAAAACATACACCCAAAAATCCCAGACTTATTGTAGGCATCTAGGAGTCATTAACAATTCAGTAACAGGCAATGACACTAAAGAAAACCATCTTAAGTGTGTGTGTATGTACACATACATATATATATATATATGAATATATATATTGACAGATTGAAAAAAAAAACCAGATACTTATTAGATTTGGTATTTGTCCTTTCCCTATCAAAAATCACCAGAATAATGCTTCTCCAGAATACTCACATCAAGTTTTTCTCTATGTATAAAGTATATATCTGGGAAAGAAATACTTTTTTATTAGTAATTTGGAGGAATATGTATAATTTTAAATGAATTGAACACTGCCTTGAAGTTCTAAAAGCTGAAACACTGGTATCTCAGTGAAAGGGTGAGAAGCAATTCATACATATTAATTCGTGGACTACTTAACTCTGAAGCTAAGGATTAAATTCAGATCATATTATTAAAAATGAACTTAATCTTCACAGGAATATTTGAATCTTACCTTGAACTTGTTCAGAACACCTCTCTCTGGCCTTTTCTCTCATTATTTTAGGGATCAAAACATCTTTTTCAACATGTCTGAGATGCTGGTCTGAAAAAAAAGATATTATAGTAAAGTCTCAAGTAAGTCACAGGATTAGGGAAAAAATAAGCACTCTAGTTATTTAAAACAAAAACACATGCAAGTTATTTTTTTTAAATAACTCTTTTACCATCTGATAAAACTGTGATTACTTTGGTCACTAAAAACTATTCTAATACTGTTTGATATACAACAACAAACTGTGAGGAACATGGGTGACATCTTCCTAAAAGTTTCCGCAAACATTACTGCAACACTTGGTACCATATCCATGTAAACTCATCAAAATTAAAATCTGAATCATCAACATTATCATATTAATATAATCCACAAAAATGTTTTATTAATTCTGAGATCCAAGGATACATAAAGAGATGTAAGATTTTTTAAAGAAATTAAGTTTTTCTAGTAGTAGTAAATGTAGCCTAAGAAAGAAAGAATGAACAGAATAAAAAGTAGAACTACAGGTCCAATCTAATACAATACAAAGTGTGTGACATTTCTGTGCATTGCACAGAAATTTCTGCATTGCAGATACAAGTTCCACCTTTTGACTAAAATGGCAAACTGCATATGATTGCTACAGCATCTCACCTACTTCTTAAATGCTGAAAAAGCTCTAAAACACAAAGAAGGGGGAAGACTCCCCAGTGAAAACAAAATGACAAGGAATATCTAAAAGACAAAAAGCTGATAAAATCAAATTAAGGGAAATAACAGTAATTCCATAAAAAAAAAAAAAACAGGAAAAACTGATACTAAAAGTGAGTGCTGTCCCATGTTTTGAAGCAGTAAATAAGGGTGGTAAGAAATTTCACTGGAGGAAAATAAAGTTACTGGTTGAAATAATTCAGTACCTGTATTAAGTGGTCATTCCTCTGCTCTGCCTAGACTATGGATGAAAGACATAAATACAAATATTTACTTCCAAAAGTTCAGGAAGTTTCCCAGTATCCAGTAAAACTTAGGGAGCTAAGAACTTATAGTCTAAATTCTTTTGGCACCTAACAATGTATGTTATTCTTCACAAATTTGGAAGGCAGGCAGTTATGAACTGAGATATACATATTTTTACACAGACGGCAAAAGGGCATCTCAAAATGCAGACAAAACAATGAAACATCCAAGAACTGCCTTAATTTTATGAAGGACAATAAAATGGAAAGAATAATAAATTATAAATAATAAAAAGTAACTAGCTCTTAGGAATGTTAAAAGGCTTAAAAGAAGATTTTAGAATCAGTATGATAAATATACTAAGGCAAATAAAAAGACAAGTTGAGAGACAATACCAATACATGGATTATCTAAATGCATATGATAGTCTGAAGCCCCAAATTCTGAAAGCTTCAAAATAGAAAAAAATATAAAAAGGAATGGGAATCAGGTGTATATTATGTCTCACTGGCAAAACTTGAATGCAATAAGAGAAAAATAACTTCCAAGTTTTGAGAAAGAATTTCTTTATATCTAAGACTACCAGAGTCAATGAAGCCAGCCGTTAAGAGAATGCTTAAAGACATTTCAGATACACAGAAACAAAACTGTTTTCCTCCTTTAAACTCAACATTAAAAAATTTCCTTACTTCTATTATTGTATTATATATAAAACTAAACATTTTATGATATTACTTTATTTTTTATTATACAGTATATGTAGAACAATAAACATTTTGTAAAGTTTAGGAATCTACAGATCAGAAGGACCTCATCTGCGAAGACTCAAAAGACTGATGTTGACTTCAACACCTGAAAATCCTGGGACTGGAAAACATACATCCCAAATTCTTTCTCTCTTCATGCATAAATTTTATAACTAGGCTGGCATGTCCTACTACAGTCAGTTAGGACTATAAACCAGATCACCTATACATCGCCTCTTCTTAGAGTTTGGCAGGTGGGATATAAGAAAGTACAATTTGAGAAGGAAGGTCTGGAGATCAAGAGAAAGTCATATGCTTTCGCTGATCTTGTCACAGAAGCTACAAAACATCATTCCCCTGCTATGTTTCATGATTTCAAATCATTAAGAACAGCCTATATACAAGTTGGGGTGGGAATAGAGGAGTGGTAAGACTCCATTCTCTGTGTCAAGCCGACAATACGCAAAGAGTATGAGGGATGGGAGGTAATGTTATAATCTTTGAAAAACAAAATATATCACAGAATTAACAGAGAACATACTCTGATAAAATAAATATGAATCCATGATGCACAAAGGTAAATAAGGAGAGCATATTAGAAAAATACACATTTCAGTTTAATTTTAAAACTGTAAAGTATTCGAGCAACATTACCACCTTTCTTGACCGAACTAGCATTTAGAAAATATTCCACGCAGTAACAACAGAAAATTTACCAAAGTGAAACATTTGCCTATGAAACAAATCTCAGTACATTTGAAAAAATTCAGGCAGTAGTACAAAGGTACATTTGCTGACACTAATGTAACTAAGAAATCAGTAATAGAAAGATCTCTAGATAATCTCCAAATAGCTATCAGCTAAAGAACACGTTTGAAAATGCCCCAGGGATCTATGATATCAAAAGAGAAATTAGAAAATATTTTTGAATGAAAATAAAAATGCAACATATCAAAATTTTGTGTGATGCACTATTACAGTACTTACAAGGAAATTTGTAACATTAAAAGCCAAGAGAGAGAAAAAAAAAAAAGAAAATTCTTAAATCATCTTAAGCTTCTACCTTAAGAACTGAAAAAGGGGGTGGGGGGCAAAGATAGAAAATGATAAAGATCAAAGCAAAAATCCATGAAATAAAAAACAAAGCAAACAAAAACAACAGAAGTAAAATGAATGGAACTAAAACTGGTTTTTTGAAAACATTAAAATTGATAAACCACTAGCCAGAATGATCAGAAAACAAACAAAGATGGGTTACAAATTTCAAACATGAGAAATGATAAATGTTTTTAAATGATAAATAGGAAACATTACACACAAACTTAGAATAATAACTAAAATGAACAAACATGAAACATGATAAACATTTTTAAATGATAAATAGGAAATATTACATACAAACTTATACTAATAAATTTAACAACTAAAATGAAATAGACAAATTCCTTAAAATACAAAACTAATCAACATCCACTCAAGAAGACATGAGGGTTACTATGGCCCTATATGTATTTCAAAAATTGAATGTATATTTAAAAGAAAAATGATAGGACCTGACAACTTCCCTCATGATTGACTGGATATTTAAGGGAAATAAAACTTATCAAACCTAGACAAATTCTTCTTCCAGAAAATTTCTCTTACGCCAATATACACTGACACCAAAACCAGGCAAAGATGTAACAAAAACAGCACTCTAATATCCTCCATTAATACAGATATAAAAATCTTAACAAAAGATCAGGAAAGTGAATCTAGTACATACATATTACTAGATTAGTAAGCATATATATTTATTCTAAAATTGTATGTATATATATATATATACATATGTAAACATATAAAATATGATACTTCACAACCAAGTAGGGTTTATCACTTAACATTCAAAAACCAATAAGCATAAGTCACCATTTGTAACTAAAAAGGCAAATAAAAAGCACAGTAATCAGACACCAAAAATATATTTGACAACAATCCAACATTCAACCCTAATAAAAATTCTCAGTAAAGTGCTAAGAGAAAAAAAAAATTTTTCAATATGATAAACAGTATTATAAGAAAAAAGCACACTGCTGAAATCATTTTAATGGTCAAATACTGAAAAATTTCCCCTAAGAGAATAAAATAAAGGAGATTGTTTTTACCATTTCTGTTTAGGATTATACTGGATGTTCTAGCCAGTGCAATCAGGCAAGAAAAGTAAATAAACAGTGACTACATTAGAAAGGAAGAAATAAAACTGTAGCTATACAAAGATAAAATGATTGTCTACATAGAAAGTTAGAATTTACAAAAAAGCTATTAGAACTAAGAGAATTTATCAAGATTGCTAGATATAAATCAATGTACAAAAATCAAATGGAGATGACACCAAAAAATTAGACAATTAGAAAATGAATCAACAGAAATTATCCAATGTCCACTGTTATTAAGAAAGGAAACAAGTAACAAAAGGAAACAGAATAACAGGAATGATGAAAGAACAGCAGAAAAGGTAAGTTAGTGATTTTTTTTTAGTCTTTAAAATTGTTTCTGGGAAGTAAAAAATGTAGTATTCTCAATGTATACAGAAGTACTATGAAAAAAACTAGATCAAGGAATAGAGTATAACTATTTTGGTGATAATAATTCATCGACATTACACTTACATGGTAAAATTTTGATGACAAAAAATTTAATAAGCTATACATGCATACTACAATTTCTAGTTCAATCACTAAAAAACAATCTAAGATTTAAACTCAAAAACACTATAGATAAATCTAAAGTCATACTAAAAATTGAAAGCAAAGTATTTTCTCTGACCAAAAGAGTACCAACAAGAAATCAACGACAGGGAGATAACACTTAGAAATTTAAAAACACATTTCTAAATGACTTGCAGGTCAGAGAAGAAGTGCCAAAAAATTAAAGAATATTTTCACTGACCTCAACAAAATGAAAACCCAACATGTCAAACTTGTGAGACAAAACTAAAGCAGTACTTATGGGAAAATTTACAACAATAAATGCTCATAGCAAAAAAGAAAGCCTCAACCAGAAATCTAACGTTCCACTTGACAAAACCATAAAAATGGGGAAAAATGAAGTTCACGTAGGAAAGACAGAAAAATAAAGAAGATCAGAAAGCAACAAAATTGACGACAGAAATATAAATGAGGTAACCTAAAGGTTGTTTTCTAAAAGATCAATAAAAATACTTTCTTAGTTACATTGGGTTTATTAGCAAGTTCTTCAAAGTATGTAAAGAATAATATTAACTCTAGTCTCCTCCCAACACATTCTAAGAGACCAATATCACCCTTATATAAAAATCAAAGACAGTATTTAGAAAACACACACACGAGACCAATATCAGTCATG